AATACAGCAGAAGGGAGAAGGGGTTATTGAGGGAATGCCAGACCAAACCAGAAAGGACAAGGGAAGCATACTCTCATTGGAGAGTAAAGTGGGGCATAAATGAATAATAACACAGCCATAGACTTTTCAGAAACGCTGCCCATTTAAGTTCAGAAACTTCCGGAAAAGTACAGGTTTGCATTTAGTGAGGCCCTCACCATTGGAGAACTTTCCTGGCCGATGTTTTCTTGAAGTTCCATCTCTAGGTATTCCACTGGCAAAGCAGGGACATTAAGAGCAGACTGGGAAAGCGGAGGCACCGAACGGGAAAGGGAAGGCTGAGAGTCTTGAATGGGAGGCCCTGGGGTAGCCTTTCCTTCATTTTCAGAAAAAACGCCATTTTGCACTGCCAAATCGTCTAGTGTTAAGTGCTCTATTTTGCAGCCTATGCTTGCCGTAAGAGAAGCAGTCTTGTCACGGTAAGCTGGCTCTTCTTTCCTCGATGCAAATTCTTGGCTGAGGGCAGCCCAAAGTCCAGCAATCCATGGCTCGACCACCAGCTCCAAACTAAAACGAAAAAGAGAAAGTCCACTTTTTAAACGGAAAATCGCAAATGCCATCCCTGCGTAAATGTCACTGAAAGAGAAATCACTCCAACCTTCCTGCTTCCTTCCTCCCTGTCACTTCCAACCCAGTCTTTCCCACCTGTATCTCACACCTTACTTCCTCCGAGAGGAGGACGAGGAAGAGGAGACTGGACTTATACCCCGCCTTTCACTCAGAGTCTCAGAGCAGCTTCCCTTCTCCTCCTCACCACAGACACTCTGTGAGGTAGGTGGGGCTGAGAGAGCTCTCCCGAGAACTGCCCTTGAGAGAACAGCTCTGAAAGAACTTGTGACTGACCCAAGGTCACACCAGCAGCTGCATGTGGAGGAGCAGGGACTCAAACCCGGTTCTCCCAGATTAGAATCTGCCACTCTTAACTTAACCACTACATCAGACTGGCCAAGATAACCCAAGATGGCAGGCTTCCACCCACAGGACCCTGGGACTACTTCTGCCCAGTGGCTATGTGCAAATGGTAGACTCAGTGGTGGGTAGCAGAGAACATTCCAGCCCCCACCAGTGAGGACTGGGATATTTCCCACCATGGAAGTCATTGCTCTAAAGGACCCAGTGGAAGCTTGTCAGCTGATGCCTCTCAACCAATAGAGTCAGCCCACAAACTTGCCTGCTGCTGTTAAGGAGACCCCCAAGCCCATGAGGGAAGTGCAGATGCACAGCCCTCCCCCCAAGGCACTCTGGGACTTCTCACGGGGCTGCAGAAAGTCATCCTAACCTTCGGGGCTCTTTTGTAGCAGGTACTCATTTGCATATTAGGCGACACACCCCTAATGTAGCCAATCCTCCAAGAGGTGACAGTAGCTCCTGTAAGAAGATATACCCGTCACGGTGACGGGTATATCGCTAGTCGAGCCTTCCCCAGACCAAGCCCCCCAGTTTAAAATCCTTCACGTGCTCATGTGGACACACACAAACACGGACATACAGTTAGAAGCAGACCAAAGGCCAGTCCAACTGCAGTTTTATGTTCCGGTGGGGACAAACACAAAAATCTTACACAGCTGTGCATTAACTATTTGTTCAAATAATTTCTATGCCACCTTTCAAGTGGGGACCGGGTGCAGAGGCAGGGCTACAGCCTTTGTGTTCTGAGGTGGGACTTAGGCAACACGGCCAATGGAAGCCGGGGAAGCTTCTGACGGACAGTTCAAGCCTCCAAACACTGTTGGTGCGCATTTTCTCTCCGCTGCGTCTGACGCTGCGTCTTACTCAATTATATATAAGGGAGAGATTATCCTTGTTACTTCTATAGTTGCTTACTGTCTGTATGGACAACTTGATATACGCCAATAAAGGCTTCTTGTATTGTATTTTATACCTCACTCTGAGGACTTGTACAATGGAAGGCAGAGAGGAGACCTGGCCAGGGCCTTCAGTATTTTGTTTCAAGTTACCAGGCAGCAAACATTAAAATATTTCAAACAGTGTTTAAAGTACAAATATTTAAAGTATTTAAAACAAATAAAACGTATAAGCACACATTAGGCATTTAACTAGACCAGGAGGAACTCAGGAGGCCGCCAGTCAAGAGTCCTCCTGTCCTCTTACCCTACAGCGTCGTCGGCTAGCCCAGTCTCGTAAAAACGCTGCGCTCCAAGTTCCCGAAACCGTTTGTCCAGTAGCTTCCCCCCGTTGCAGAAGAAGGTGTATTCTGAGTCTCCCAGACCTGAGAGAGCCAAGCAAGGAGGAACATAAAGGCAAGAACCAACGAAACAGATAAGCAGCTTCAGTGTCAATGGAAACGTACATGCAGTTACTCAACGTTTAATGGAACTGTTCAAAAAACTAATCAAATACACATGTCATAAGAACATAAGAACATAAGAGATGCCAGTGTTGGATCAGACCAAAGGCCCATCCAGTCCAACACTCTGGGTGATTTCCCACAAGCGCTGCTCCGCGCTCACTCTTCTCTTTGGCCCGATGGTACGTGTCAATTACACACAAGCTGCTGCGCGACCGCATTTTGCTCCCTTACTCGAAAGCCAGTCGAATCCGACTCTAGGGTTGCGGTTCTCATCTCCGTTTCAAAGCCACCGCAGCTTCAAAAGTAAAGGTTCCCTTGCTCGAACGCCAGTCGAATCCAACTCTAGGGTCGCGGTGCTCATCTCCGTTTCAAAGCCGAAGAGCCAGCGCTGTCCGAAGACGTTTCCGTGGTCATGTGGCCGGCATGACGAAACACCAAGGCGCACGGAACGCTGTGACCTTCCCACCGAAGGGGTACCTATTGATCTACTTGCAATTTCTTGCTTTTGAACTGCTAGGTTGGCAGGAGCTGGAACGAGAGACGGGAGCTCACTCCGTCATGCGGCACACTCGGGTCTCGAACTGCTGAACTACTGACCTTCCACAGCCTGCAGTTCAGCGTCTTAACCATTTGTGGAGATGAGTCGGATTCAACTGGCTTTCGAGCAAGGGAACCTTTACTAATGAGAACACAGTACTTGGGGGGAGTAGATTTTCCCTGCCTCCTCTTTCCTAACAGTTCCTTGAAACCCATGAACAAGCTGGACATCAGGAGACCCTGCAGACTAAAAGCCAGGCAGTGGGGGGCTGGAGAGAGGAGGAGGAAACAGGTGAGGTTTTCAGGATCTCCCCTCCCCCTTTCACTTTATGAACACACTTTATGAACAAAGGGCCTAACAGTCCAACATATGCAAATGGTTTAATCAAAAGCATATATGTCATTTCAAACAACTACTTTCCCCCTGCGTTAGTAAGAGCAAAAGGAGATTACAAATTACCAAGCAATCCATATCGTAAATGGGAAAAGTGACTCTGGGGCAGCGTTCTGTCGTTAATTTCTTTAACAAACTTGAGTGCTGTGTCTGGGGGTTCTCCATCACCAGTCGTGGAAGTGACAATAACCACGGGGTCCTTTTCTCTATTCAAGTTATACTACAAGTCAGGAGAAAGAAAAATCAGTTTAAAGCATTACCGGACAGACATTTCAAGACAGCGCGCACACACGCACACACACACAAAACTGAACACAAAATTCTATTGGGTTAAGACTTTGAAATGGATTAACTGTTCTGTCGGTCTCTCCAATCTACTGTTACCCTGTTCCAAGTCCCCTGGATGTGGCTGACTCCCCATTTAAATACATAATCAATCCAAGATACTGAGGATATACTCCTATGCAGCACAGATGTGTCAGCTATCCTGCCATGGGGGTTGGGGAGTTCATTCTGGATCTTGTTAATTGCTATTGCATTCCTATCCCTGCTGTTCTCCCTTTGCTGCAACGCTTATCTCTACAGATGTGCAGGAGGAGGTTGTGTTGTCTGGAGAGCTCCTGTGTACCGTGAGAGACTCTGAGTTCTCAGCTGTAGCCACCTAATGGTTGCCTGACTTATCCCGCGTGCGGGAGGGTGCCTAATTGGCCAATGCCATGGGGGGGGGGGGTGCATACGAATACCCTATATCCTATCATGCTCTACTGGCTGTGGCCATTCTTAAGAGCCAGTTTGGTGTAGTGGTTAAGTGTGTGGACTCTAATCTGGGAGAACCGGGTTTGATTCCCCACTCCTCCACTTGCACCTGGCTGGATGACCTTGGGTCAGTCACAAGCTCTGGCACAGCTGTCCTTGAAAAAGAGCAGTTTGTGTCAAGAGGTCTCTCAGCCCCACCCACCTCACAGGGTGTCTGTTGTGGGGAGGGGAAGGGAAAGGAGTTTGTAAGCCGCTCTGAGACACCTTTGGGTAGTGAAGGGCGGGGTATAAATCCAATCTCTTCTCTCTCTCTTCTCTTAACAGTGCCTGTGTTACTGCATCTATAGCTTTGCAATAAAAGTACAACCGTTCCTGAATGCGTGTACTTCGTTGTTAGAGGTGGGTTCTGGCAAGATGCCGTGTGCAGTGGATCTGGCAGAGGCTGGAGCAGGGAGGCTGGTGCTCGAATCCACAGTGGCCATTGGTGAGGCTGATAAGGTGATCTGGAGCCGGCCATTCCTTGTCTCAACTTAACCTCCCTCATAGGGTTAATGAGACCAGGGGTCATTTCGTAGAAAAAGAGGTGCAGGAGCTCATTCGCATAACTTATTTGCATATGCCACACCTCCTGACATCACCGGAAGTGTGTCAGAAGGCAACACCCACCGCTCAGGCTCCACCAGACTGATTCCTAGCTATTGGGGGGGGGGGGACACATGTGCAGATCTGTCCTCGCAGAGGAGGGAGAGCTTGTACCTGAATAAAACTTGGTCTTAAAAGGTGCCACTGGACTGTTTTGGACCCGGGGGACCGGGGGGGATGGGGGGCTCTGCGGCTTACCTGGCTGCTTCTTGCTCTGACTGAGGGCTGCTGGGAGCAGGGGGTGGGGCTTGTTGCATGTGCCCGCCCCCTGGGCTCTCTACTGCCGGAGCTCCGCTCCTGTGTGCTCCTGCAGGAAATGACCCCTGAATGAGACTAAAACAGCCTCTAACACGCACCACCACCACCAAGCACCCCAAGGGAGGGTGGATGGGAAATAAAAGATAATAAAGAGAAGTCTAGCATCAATAACAGAGAGGAGGCTTATCAGACGGTAATTGGATGGTAACTGATAATTACTCCTTTTAAAGATGGGAACCAGTATTGCATTGGTCCAAGACTCTGGCATTATTCCTGTTCTATCGAATAGGGTAAAAAAAATCTGCCAAGAAGGTGGCCCACCAGTCCGGATTTATTTTAACTATTTCAGGTGGAATTGCATCTGGGCGAGGGGCTGTTCTTGGCTTTAGCTGTTCAATAAGTGGAATAACCTACTCTGGTCTCACTGGAGGCCACTGGGGAATCTATATACTAATAGCCAAGTCGCCCCCGTGCGTGCGGATACCTAAATCCGCGCATCGGGGGCACCTGGGAGGGAGGGAGATTTGTGTGCACAAAAATCTAAAAACCCTGAAAAAAATACCGGGGGGATATTTAAATCCCCCCCAAAGTGACAGAGCGTCCCCTGCGCATGCGCAGGGAACGCTCTGCGAACTCCCTCGCCGCCGCTTGGGGGGGGAAGAGAGCACCACCTCCAACCCTTCCCCCCCTATCCTTCCGATATAATATATAACCGGGAATCACTGTG